TCGATATCTGATAGAATCAATGAGTTAGCTGGGTCCAGACTGAGTCCTAAAGAACACCTACAGTTAAAGCAGACTAGAGCCCGGGAAGGAGTTGAGTAGTCAGAAGGTACAGGGCACCTTGTATAGAGACAAGGACGCCAGTGTCCAGAGCACTTGGCCCCAGCAGGAAGTGGGGGTACCGGGCACACCCGGGTCCAAATCTCCAGTTTATTAGCTTCAAGTGACCTTGGGCACTTTAGGGGAACACCTTCAGTCTCAGCTGTCTTTTGTGAAAAAAAGAAAATATCAATTTCATGGGCTTTTATCATCTGTGTGAAAAAATAAAGCAACAGTAGATACTTAATAACAGAATAAAAATAAAAGGAGGGTGATTTGTTAACCATCTTGGAAACATAAATATCAAATTTTGAAACACAAGTTGAGCATGAGTCCTAGGAAGGGCACTGGGTCTCAAGCCTCACAAACTTGGGTTCAAATGCCTTTTCCAGCCACGTGTCTCAAGCCCTTTAGGTTCCTTCTCATCTCTAAAATGCACATCCTATTACTTCTTAAGAGTGCTACTAGGATTACATTAAATAAGCCGTATCAGTATAAAGCTGGCCCGTATTAGGAGTTTAACAAGTAGCTCCCTCCCGCTTCCATTTTTAAGTGCCAACTGTATTTTCTATAGGCTCACTATTTAATTAAACACAAACAAAAAGAGAAAATTTAAGTTACCCAACGTAAAGAAACCGAAGAAGCAAATCGATGTGTAAGTTAGTATGGGATTTGGTTTTTCGATTTGGAAAATGGGACATGGCTATCTCAGGGATGGATTCTGACCAAATATTTAATCCAATGAGGTTAGAAAAAGAGTTTAAACACGAAGCCAACGTCCCCTTAGTGCTGATAACTGTACATACTTTTTGATTCGCTATCTACTTTTAAATGCAAGTCAACGACTGTTCTTAGGGCTGACACCTCTTCACTACTTCCCCGACCTCCACTTGAGGGCTCACCGGGGACGATACGGTATTTTATTTCTTCCTCACAACAACCCAGGAGGTGAGGGTTATCTCTACTGCCATTTGCGGAATCAAGCACTGAGGCTTTGCGCGGGCGAGCAGTGTTCTCAGGCGGCCGCAACTTCAGGGCCTGTGGCCTCAGGCATGCGCCCGCCGCCCTGCCACCGCTCCGGGTCGCGCCGGGTCAGGGTCCCGCAGGCCGGGCAGGCTCGGCGCGCGGACGTGGCTTCGGCGCCAAGCGTCGTTCCCACCGTGACCTTGAGCCCGGCCGGCCCGGCAGGCAGGCACTCCGACCTCGCCGAGGCTCCGACTCGCCCAGCCGCGCCGACCGAGGCCTCGGTCCCGCCGCCCCGCAGTCCGGGAGGCCCTGCCCAGTGGGAGCGCGGCCGGGCCGGGTCGTAGACTCGTGCCGGGGACCCGTGCCCTCCGCCCCGCGGCGGCCCCTCCCCGGCCGCTCCCGGAAAGGGCGGCGCTGCTCACCAGAGCCCGGGCTGGAGGTTGCAGGGGCCGGCCCGCCGCAGAAAGCTGCCGGCCGAGGCCGCTCCGCCGGCGCGCAGTACTCGCGCCGCC